AGAGGAACCAACCACAAGTAACAACACCCAGAACACAAGTAACATAACAAGCAACAACCCCCTACAAGTAACATAACAACCACTACAAAAGAGCTAACAAAAACAACCAGAACATAACCAAAACACCACTACAAGAATCAGCAGAAACGTCTACTGCTAGAGCAACTGAAATGGATCTCAAAAATCAGCAGAAATGGATTTCAGAAAGCATTCACAGATGACCAATGGAACCTCCACGCCACTGAGATACCTTGCCAGCCATACCAACCAACCATGGCACACACCAATACAACTATAGCACACACCACACAACCACAGCATATCCACTAACAGATCAGAGCAGACAATTCGAAGCAGAACAAACCAGACAATGCACACCAGACAATTCAAATCAGCAGCAGAGGACTTAATGCAGAGCATGCAGTAGCTAGAGAGAAACTGAACGAAACACTCAGGTGAAGCTCCTAATATCCCCCCAATTGCAAACAAAATCAGAGACTAAAAAAGGCAAGTCCTTAATAGAGGCCTTAAGCCAATAAGCTAATCTGACTTTGATTAATTCCCATAGATCCACTGAGTTAGGATGGGCATTAGAGATTACACACTCATTTCTATACTTCCAAAGAGACCAAAGAACAACAAAGGGAATGGCTCTCCAAACTTTGGTAATAAAGCCTCTAAACTTCCTACTCATCCACCAGTTAAGTAAGTCTGCTACAGAGTATGGGATGCACCATTGGATCCCCCAGTCAGATAACACAGCAGACCAAATGGACCAAGAGAAAGGACAATGAAGCAAAGCATGACTGGCAGATTCAACAGCAGATTTGCAGAAAATGTAAGAGGTTGATGCATTGGAACTAAGGATGCCAAGGTTGTGAAGAAAATCTGCAGTTTTAACTCTAGCCATCCAAAGAAATGAACTTTGGAAGGTAATAAGTTGCACCAAATAAATTTGGTTATGGTAAGATTAGGCCCCAGGAGAAAGGTGCTAAAGGAATAAAGAGAAGGGACCTGAACCAACAGTAGCAGAGTTCCAGACCATACTATCAATACACCCAGTGCTCAAATAGGGAGTAGAGACCAACAAGCTAAGCAGTCTAGATACATCCGGCAGTTCCCAAGCATATAAGGCTCTTCTGAAGTTGAAATTCCAATCAGTTTCGCTGGTTTTCCTTGCAAGGTATTGTTGAAGAGAACCTCCTTATCAACAGAAAGGTTGAAAAGGGAGGGAAACTCATCCTTAAGGCAAGTGGCTCCACACCACTTATCATACCAAAATCTGATTCTACAGCCATCCCCCACCTTGTTTTGGCAACTTAGTAGGAAAAAGTTAAAGATATTGGCACTATGATTCCCAATGAAGAGAATGTCTCTCCACACCCTTGAGAGTTTGTAAGAAGATAACACAGAAGGATGCCAACAATATACCTCGACCTTGTATTTACTACAAATGATTCTCCTCCAAAGTGCATTTGTTTGAGTGCCAAATTTCCACCACCATTTGAGAAGCAAACAAGTATAACATCCCTGATTCTCTTGATGCCGAGGCCCCCTTGGGCAACACTCTTTGTTACATCTACCCATTTTACCAAATGAATTTTCCTTTGAAGCCCATTTCCACCACACAGAAAGGTAGCTTCAATCTTCTCCACTTCACGGGCTACACCATCAGGCATCTTAAAGAGAGAGAGATAGTACACGGGTAGACAAGATAGGAAAGATTTGATGAGGGTTAGTCTACCAACAAAGGATAACATTTTCCTCATCCAACCTGAAAGTCTAACTCTGATAGTGTCTAGCACAGGTTTCCAAGTAGATTTGCTCCCTGGGTTGGAACCTAATGGCAACCCAAGAAATTTCAAAGGCAATCTAAGCACCTTACAATTCAAGCAACTTGCAAAGTTCTGCAGTGACTCTTCCAGCACACCCACTCCACATACCACACTTTTGAGGTAATTAATTCGGAGTCCAGATAGAACTTCAATGTCACGACCCGAACCCACCCCTATGGGTTAAGGCCATAACCAGCCAGTAATCACGAGATTACCTACGGCCTCAAACCAATAAAACAAAACTCATCAGAGTAAAGGGGCCAAACGGAAGCAAAATTCAAAACTTTTTCCATAGGGTTGTGCTTATATGCACACCATAACATCCCAAACATTTATATGTTAATAACTCACATCAAAATATGTACTAACACAAACACTGTACATACAGGATCATACAAGTTTAAGTCAGTCGAACCCAAGACTTATATACAAAAGTAGTCCAATGCTTTCGCCAGCATAACAAAACTATGAACAAAGGACAAAAGCGAAGACAATCTCGTGCGTGAGACATTTGGGCTGACTCCTCAAAACTTTGACTGTTTCTCACAATTTCACTGAGGCTGGTTCTGGACGTCCCTTGGCTCACCTACATGTACATGAATAAGTGTGAGCGAAAGCCCAGTGAACAATATCAATAAGGAAGATACATAAGCAATCTTTGAAACAATTACAGCAGACGGCCTTTGGCCCAATCACTTGTATCAATCGGCCTTCGGCCCAACCATTTATGTTAATCAGCCTTCGGCCCAATCATTCATGTCATTCGGCCTTCGGTCCAATCATTCATGTCAATCGGCCTTCGACCCAATCATTCATGTCAATCGGCCGTCGGCCTAATCATTTATGTCAATCGGCCTTCGGTCCAATCATTCATATCAATCGACCTCCGGCCCAATCATTCATGTCAATCGGCCTTCGGCCCAATCATTCACGTCAATCGGCCTTCAACCCAATCATTTATGTCAATCTTTGTCCTCTATTCAAATTAATGAACTTACAAAAATTACGTAGAAGTAAACAGTTGGACAATAGCATATCTCAGATATCTTGTTAAGACATTACTCACAGTGATCGGTTGGTTGGTTTGCCCTGGAGCTCGACCCTACACATTCCATGAACACAAAAGGGTCACAAACAATTCAATCCGCTCTAAATTCACATTTTCCTCTTTAGGCTTCATTCTTATCTCTTTAACTCAGTTACAATGCTCAATGTATGCCTAAGAGTACTTAGAAGTGAAAGAGGACAGAAAACGAAACACAGAATGTCTTTTCAAAATTTCAGAAAACAGGGTCCCCGCTCGAGCGGACCCATGAGGTCTGCAAAAGTGTTGGTTACATCAATTTCACGCTTGAGCGCAAACTTGGCCGCTCGAGCTGAAGATCTGTCTACATAGCTCCCCGTTCGAGCGCGAACTTCCCCGCTCGAGCGGAAGCCATGTCTGCAAAATATGCTGGGAGCTCGTATTTCATACTGGAGCGGCGGTTTCCCCGCTCGAGCGGACATCAAGAATTCTAGGTTTTTCAGAATTTGTTCTTGAGCTCAATTCGACCTCCAAAGGTTCCAAACTCATATTTTTTGGCTCAAACTTCAAATATATTTATGCTATCATGATACAAACACCCATTTACATCAATATGGAGCTCAATTTCATAAATCAAACACATGCATGTCCCAATTGAGACCAAACTCATTTTCAACATGCAAATTCATGCATTCAAAGCTTCTATTCTTATAATTTGTACATGCATGTGATGTATTAACCTTATTCACAACCTAGATGATGCAAATGGTGTTCACTCTCATGAAACTCAACAAAAACATACTTGCATGTATGATTTAACACTCATTTTTCCATATTCAACTTAATACATGCTTGATTATGCAAAATCATAGTGATCCTATACATGCATGTGCATTTTAACTTCAAATTCATCAATTAAAGCACAACTCTTATTCTTGATCACCAATTAATCTTTAATTCACAAATTACAAGTTCAAACTCATGAATTTACTCACCTAGGAGCTTTAATCCTCCAAATTAAGGTTAATTCTTAAGCTAGCCTTCAATTTATTTAAGCTTCTTGAGCAAATCTTCAATTGTTTCTCTCTCCCTCTCTCTAGCCGACCCTCTCTCTATTTTAGAGCTCAAGATCAGCCAAAATGCAACAAAGGAGGAGAATTGAGGGTGTAGTGCCCTTATACAACAAATTCCACTAATTCAATTTAATAATAATAAATAATTGGGCACTAATTCAACAATTTAATCAATTTAATCTGGTTCGAATCTATTTTTCAATTAAACTTCACCGTAGGCTTTAAAAATTATGCCAATCACTATGGTGTAATCAAATTCGGTTTATGTGGCCGATAAGGCCTTCAATTTAATTTCCAAAGCAGACAATCAAACAGATATTCCTACGGTGAACAGATAGAAATTCAAAACCACATATTTTCACATAATGGCACACAAAATCACATTAAACACATAATCATATTCATATTAAGGACCAATTAGCACAAAACAGAACAGGGTTATCGCATTCAAAGCATCGAAGCACTCTTTTGATAATAACCACTTAATCCATATCTGTTTCATAGAAGAGAATAGAGTCATCCGCAAACTGAAGATGTGATACAAGGACCTCATCAGCCCCAACCAAGACACCTTTAAGGAGACCAAGATTAATAGCTCTGGTGAGAAGGATATTGAGCCCTTCAGCCACTATGTTGAAAAGAAATGGTGATAATGGGTCGCCTTACCTAAGGCCTCTTTACGGAGAGAACTCATTAGTTAGAGATCCATTCACAAGGACGGAGATACATGCTAAAGACACACAAGTTTTTATCCAAGAGATCCACTTAGAACCAAAGCCAAAGCTTGACATCATAGAGAACAAGAATTCCCAGTTGACTGAATCAAAGGCTTTCTCGAAGTCCAGCTTGATTATTAACCCTTGCCTCTTGGCCTTCTTCCATCCATCCACAACCTCATTAGCTATAAACACCCCATCTAGGATATTCCTACCTCCTATGAAAGCTGTCTGGATCTCACCTATGATTGAAGGCATCACAGGCTTTAACCTCTACACTACGCCTTTTGCCAAAATTTTATATAGAGAGCCCACCAAGGTAATGGGTCTATAATCAATCAGATTAATGGGACTATCTAGCTTGGGAATGAAGGTAATGAAAGAGTTGTTGATACCATAGGTAAGCTTGATATGTTTGTAAGTCACTAAAGAATTGCATGATCTCCTGTTTCATGACTTTCCAGAATTTCTGATAGCACAACAGATTAAACCCATCCGGGCCTGGAGCTTTGTTACCATTACTCTCTTTAATGGCTGCCCGAACTTCTGCTTCAGTGAAATTAGGTATTAAGCAGTGAGAGACAAGACTATCCTCAATTACTTTGAACTCTCCACCCAAAGCAGGCCTGTTAATCCAAAATTCCTGGAAGTGGTTCTTGAAATGGATGAAAACCTCATGCTTGATCCTACTAGGGTCCTCATAAGAAACACCATTGGCTGAAATAGAATTGATCATGTTTCTACTTTGACGAGAACTTGCAATAGCTTGAAAAAATCTAGTATTTTTATCCCCCTTAAGAGACCAATTCAATCTGGACTGTTGATGCCATAGCCACTCCACCCTTCTATAGAGCTTCCACACTTCACCTCTGACTTCTCTTCTTCTAGCCTTTTTAGAGTGTAGCAATTCTCTTTCCTCCACAATGATGTCAAGGTCATGTAATTCATCCTTTGAAGCCTTAAGTTTGGTTGAAACATTTCCAAACACTTCAGTATTCCATTTCCTTAGTTCCAACTTTAAGTGTTTTAGTTTTTGTTGGAGAATAAACCCAGCCCAACCCACAAAACTAGCATTCACCCAGCAGGTAGTAAATAGTTGAGCAAATTTGGGATGCAAAGTCCACGCATTGATAAACCTGAAAGGTTTGAGACCCCAATCTCTTTCATCTTCCATCATTAAGAGGGGGCAATGATCTGATATAAGTCGAGGCAGCCCCCAGAGTTTCAGTTTGAAGTAAATTAACCATTCAGGGCTTAATAACACCCTATCAATTCTGCTCCAATTCTGAGATTCTTGAGCATTGCACCAAGTATATTTCCTACCAAGAATGGGGAGGTCATTTAATTCAGCGGAATCTATGAACTCATTGAGTTGTTGCATGCCTCTGTCTCTTCTAAAGCAGCCTACTCTCTCACCCATATGTCTTATTTCATTGAAATCACCTCCCATGCACCAAGGGTTAGAAAAATAGACCTTAAGATTGAGTAAAATGTTCCAAAGAGAGGATCTACTACTGACATCATTAGGAGCATAAATATTAAGTAGAACACAATGAAAGGAGTTATATAAGGTACCTGAGAGTAGAATGAACCTCTTGTTGCAGCAGCTACCAGATAATTGGAAGATATCTGGATCCCAAATACATAAAAGCCCACCTGCAGTACATTTTGGGTCCACAGACAAGAACTCCATTTTCCTTTGACCCCAAAGCCCTCTAGCTAAATTGTCAGATACCACAATCTTTTTTGTCTCTTGAAAGAATACAATATCAATATGCCTCTCTTTTGGTAGCCTTTTAATTCTTTCCCTCTTCTCAGGCTTGTCAATCCCTCTAACATTCCAAAATAAAAGCTTCATAATTAAACAAATTGACCCTCCATTCGACCCCTGCACACTTCTATTATGGTTGGGCCTTTCCATCCCTCATAAGTCTCTCTTGATCCTTAAGTTCCAACTCAATAATCTTATCCACCACACCATCTTCCTGTCCACGGAAGTTAATTCCCAAATCTTTCCTTACTTTGAAAGTGGCCTACGCTTCCCTGAGGAGATAGCTGTGCGAGCTTGAGTCACCCTCAGATAGCTCAGAGCCTGCAAGGGCCACTGCTGCTGCCCTGAATATAATGGACTTGGAGGGGTGTTTACTGGTAGCTGCAGATTTGTGGCCATAGAGTCGAGCAAACCGAGAGAACCCCTCCATGTGCACCTTCTTCTTCCCAGCTTTCTTAGCATACCATTGGGGGTTGAGGATGGGATCAGGACAACAAACTGGGCCTTTAGCATGTAAATACATAGTGCCCAACCCAGCAGCAAGTGGATGAGGCCCAGGTGATAAAGGATTATTGCCTGACCTGTTGCCTTGAAGTCCAAGTGACGAGAGAATAGGGCCTTGAACTATATTCTCATTGTTTGGATGGCCCAGATTAACCTTCAGATTAATTCCAGGAATAAGGCCTTGAACTATATGATCACTATTCGGATGGCCCAAGTTGACCTCCAAATTAATTCCAGGCCCAAACTCGTCTATGGACCTGCTTAGATTTTTGAGCAGACCAGGTGGTGAAGCTTGCTCAACACACCTTTGTGGCTGGTCATTGCATGTGGGGCAGGGTGTACTCTCCTCCATCATTGTTTATTTTCCCCCTACTGCAGTAGGTCTGCTGCACAGTGAATCCTTAACCACTGTGCCCACCGCCTCTATACTGCTGCATAGTGAAAGTTCCTTCCTTTGCATCACGTTGATGGAGGAAAGAATCGCCGCACCGGACCAGTTATGTCAATTTGCCACTAAATCAACTTCATCCTTCCTTTTGCAAGCCCCATCTATGAGAACATTTTCCTCAGCTCTACTTAAGGCCACATTGGAGCTGGTATTGCAATCACCCAACCCAATGTTACTCAACTCATGACACTCCAAAGGGTTGAGCGAATGATCTTCACAAACAAAAACTGGGTGTAATCTACCCTTACATTCCAGATTTATTATTTTGTTGATAAGCTCCATACATGTTGTAACCACTTTAATTTTGGAGTAGGAGAATGACTTTGGTTGGCTAAGATCACTCTCCAAATGAAGGACTTACCCCCACAAAGCTCCAATGTTGTTTAGAGTGTTCCTATTCTAAAGGTTCAGAGGAATACCATAACATTTCAACCAAACACATCTCTCTTGCTTTATTTGAACTCCTGGCTTCCATTCCGAAACAAACTGGCTCCAATCTTTAAACAAGTCCTTGATCTTCTGGATATTGGATTAGAGCTCCTCCTGGGATTTGAAAGTCAAAATTACATCCCTGCCTCCCCCCTGTCTGACCACAACTTAAGCTAACCCATTATCCTTTAAGGCAAATCTAATGTTATTGATGTAGAAATCCAAGTTGAGCCTGATAACAACGCTTTCGTAAAGCCATCCATGGCCATCTTCATTGACTTTGATAGTCATGGTCGTGCCCTTTTGTAGAACCTCTGCAAAAGATTTATGGCCAGTAAATAGGATTGAACCTGTACCTCTATTCGGGTTAAAGGCTTCTGTGATGGCCTGGGGCCTTCTCATGCTGGACATGCTCCTATCATGAGTGGCATACTTGACTGCAAGGACCTTATCATCCACCAAAAGTCCATTTGCTTTCTGGATTGCTATGTCTGATGCAACAGATAGTCGAATCTCACAAAGCCGAATCTTGAGTTTGTCGCTTTCCTTTTCTTGAAAGGAATGAATACATCTTTAACTACACCAAACTTTTTGAAAAGTTTGAACAGTGAGTTTGCATCCAAAGATCTTGGGATATTGTCCACGAACACAGTGTACAGACCATTCCTTGCTTCATAGCCCCTAGATCCACCTCCTCTCCATTGATTCACCACCGGGATCCAACCTCCATTTCTTCCATGCTCCATAAGAGGAATGAGCTTCACAATTTCGTTAGACATGCATGATGTACACTAGCGGTCTATATGTGAAAATCCTTGAAAGTCGGTACATTAATCAAATTAAATTTTGTAAAATCGAATTCTATTCAAATCATCAAATCTAACCCCCAAAAAATTACATACTAATGTGATATTTATCTTATTAAAATGAGTCATGTTTTTATTATTCATCCAAAAACAAAAAGTCATATTTTTATTTTTTTAATCAAAAATATATATTTATATATATTAATAGAAATGAAGAAGGATATACAAGGTGTTGGACCATTTTAATATCTTATATTTGTTTATTGGTTTATCTTTTTCATAAATGGGGTTTTATTACTTTGGTAACCTCTTGGTCATAAATGGAGGGTAAATAGAATTCATGAACTTGGTTAATGGTCACTATTTTGGTGTAACCATTTTCTTGTTTAATGGTCATTATTTTTGGTGTAACTGTAAGGTCCTTATAGCCTATATGTAGTCTACTCTTTTCTATCTATAGAGAACAACTATTTTCTATACAAGAGAGATTACTAGCAAAGAAGGGTGTTTTATTGGTGGAGCTTTGGGTTCACCATCTTGTGCAGAGTTGGCCTGAACCATACGACAAGTGGTCGGGCTGTTGTATCCTGGAGGGGACAAGTCATAGTGTTGTGACTGCTGCATCGGTATTTGGATTCTTCCTACCGCAGTGGGCTTGATCTCCTTAAAGAAAATGAGATATCCGTGCCTCAGCCTGATCTATTTGTATCTCATTTTCTTTGCATTATTTATCAATAATATAGTTTAGTTTCTGGTATTTTCTCCAACAATTTTAAGGAGATCAAACATGGAACAAGTACCAGAAAAAACCAATGATGGAATTGAAGATCTCAACAAACCTTTCAAGTTCAAAGGAGTTCATTTTAAGAGATGGAAAGGAAAAGTTCTTTTTTACCTTAGCCTTTTGAAAGTTACATATGTTCTTACCGAAAAGAATCCGAACAAAATCCCAACCGAAGAGATAAATGATGAAGACTATGAGGCACATGAAGCAAAAGTGGCTTCCTACAATACAGATAAGTATAAATGTCAATTTTATCTCTTAAATTTCCTTGCTAATTAATTTATGATTACTATGACACCACTTACACTTCCGTAAAAAAAATTTGGAAAGCTTTACAGACTAAGTATGATACCGAAGAGGTAGGAGCAAAAAGTATGCAACCAGCCGGTTTTTCCGCTTCCAAATCGTAGATGGAAAATCCGTTGTGGAGCAAGCACAAGATTTCCAAATGATAGTTGCAGAAGTAAGATCTGAAGGCATCAAGATTGGTGACAACTTGGTAGTTGCAGGACTTGTTGACAAGCTACCGCCATCTTGGAGAGAATTCCAAAAGAGTATGCGTCACAAACAAAAGGAGACTTCCTTAGAGACGTTGATCACTCGCATCCGAGTAGAAGAGGAGGCTAGAGGCCAAGATGCATTAAAAACACAAGCGGGTAATGGCAATTCTACCACAAAGGTAAACTTTGTTTCAGCAAATAATAACTTACCCAAAGGTCATAATTCCAATAATGCTTATTTGAAGCCTTATAAAAAGAATATGAAGAATTATGGTAAACCTCATAATAAGTGGATTAATCCAGATAAGAACCAAGGTCCATCACCTCCACAAAATTTTACATGCTTTGTCTGTGGCAAAAGTGGGCATATTGCTCAAACTTGCAAATTCCGAAAACGTGCACCTGCCCCAAAGGCTAACATTATCGAGGAGCCATTTGTGGCTATGATTACAGACATTTTCATGGTTAATTATGTGGACGGTTGGTGGGCAGATTCTGGTGCTAATAGACATGTTTGTTATGATCAAACTCGGTTCAAGGTGTATACTCCCTTTGATGATGAGAAAACAATTATGCTTGGTGACTCTAGTCAAACCAAGATACTTGGGAGTGGTGAGGTTGATCTAAAATTCACCTCTGGACATGTGCTTACTTTAAAAGATGTGCTTTATACACCGTCCATGAGGAAGAATTTGATGTCAAGTTATTTGTTGAATAAGGCTGGTTTTAAGCAAACTATGGAATCTGATCAATATGTGATTACCAAGAAGGGTATTTTTGTAGGTAAGGGTTATGCTTGTGATGAGATGTTCAAATTGAATGTTGAGATTAATAAACCATCTACTAATTCGGTTTACATGTTGTCTTCTATTAATTTATGGCATACTCGCTTGTGTCATATAAATAGTAAATATGTGGGAATCATGAGTAGTTTAGAATTAATTCCTAAAGTGACAAAAAATTTTGAGAAATGTGAAGTTTGCAGTAAAGCAAAAATTACCAAGAGGCCTCATAAAAGTATTGAAAAAAATACCGAATTGCTAGAATTATTTCATACTGATTTGTGTGAGTTTGAAGGAATTTTAACTCGGGGTGGTAACCGATATTTTATCACTTTTATTGATGATTTTTCAAAATACACAAATGTATATTTATTAAAAAATAAAAGTGATACTTTTGAGAAATTTAAAGAATTCCTTCTTGAAGTGGAAAATCAATTCGGTAAAAAGATTAAAAGAATTAGAAGTGATAGAGGCGGGAGTATGAATCTCTAGATTCAACTCTTTTGTTTAGTCATTGGAATTATTCATGAGGACTACTCTACCATATTCACCTTCATCAAATGGCGTAGCTGAAAGAAAAAATAGAACGTTAATTGACTTGACGAATGTTGTGCTTATTGATTCAGGTGCTCCCTCAAATTTTGGGTGAGGCTATTTTGACAGCTTGCCATGTGATAAATAGAGTGCCACCAAAAAGACTAAATTGTCCCTTATGAGTTGTGGTAGGGCATAAACCAAATCTAGGTTATTTGAGGGTTTGGGATTGTTTAGCTTTGTGAGGCTTGCAGATCCTAAACGACCTAAATTGGGTGAACGAGCTACCACTTGTGCTTT